AGATATATTTGTGTGTGTGTGTGTGTGTATATATATGTATATGTGTATGTGTATGTGTATGTGTGTATGTATGGATGTATCTATATGTGTGTATATATGTATGTTATATTATGTATTCTAATCTATCTATCTATCTATCTATCTATCTATCTATCTATCTATCTATCTATCTATCTCTATCATCTATCTATCTATCTATCTATCTATCTATCTATCTATCTATCTATCTATCTATCTATCTATCTATCTATCTATCTATCTATCTATCTATCTATCTATCTATCTATGAATTTATGTAGGTAGGTTTGTATGTAAGAATGCATGCATGCATTTATGTAGTAGTAGTTTTTAAGTGTTATGAAGACTTTATTCACTTTGAAAATAAGAGTTGTATTGTATGTAGATAGTCTATTATTCATTAAGGTTTTGAAATGTGTGTAATATTGTATTGATGTTGGTGGCATTTATCACTGTAAATAGATAAAGTGCACATTTATGCACTCATTTACATATGCATGCTTTCATGATTATCTGTGCACCGACACCCTTGCATGACACTGCAATCCCCACCCACATTTACATGCAGATACACATGCTAAAGCACATGTACATAAGCACACATGCTCATATGCATACACATGAATGAATAGTGCACATTCATGTGAACATGGATTTAAATAGATACGTACATATATGGTGGATATTCACTTAGATATAGTGTTTACAGATATGAGTGAATAGGCACTTATACACATATATACATAACATACAATCACACTCAATATACACATGCATTTGCACATGTATTTACATAGACATATGCATGAGTACAGAAAGTGCACATAAGCACACTTAACTAAACACATACTGGAATACATAAGCACTCACATTAATTTTCATACCTTTAGTCACAAACAAATAGGAAACATACACAGACATGCACACTTGCTAGTACACCCAAATTTTTGCCATGTAGAGATACTTCATAGATTTATAGAAATTAGATACTCCATGAGTACAAAAGACCTCTCACTTGAGAAACTAAACAGAAGGCATTTGTAAGGTAGTATCAAAAGATCAGTGCAGTGTTTCTTAACGCAGGGGTTGTCCTAAGATAATTCATTCGGTTGTTGCTTTGTAATGTCAGCTTAAGAAAGTAAAATCATATATCATTAGTTTTTGTTACGCCTGTTCTCTAATATATAAGTAGCCAGTAAATATTTTGATGACCGAATAATCTATGGCGTTGTGAGGGTATAAGTTATTACCATAATTGGCAGGGACAGGATTTTTGGTCGCTGTACAAGAGGGTTAAGAACCACTGCTGCAGGGGTATCAAGAACTATGTACATGTAGTTTTTGGTTTGATAAAACTATTATGGCTTCTTCTTCTGAATGACAATTTGCTGTTTTTCTTTGTGGTTGTTTTTGGCACTGGTACATTTTGGTTGAAGTAATGGTTATTTTTTAAATTCATTATTATTTTTTTTATTATTGTTTGAGCTTTTGTGATATTTTGTTGAATCATGCTTTAATATGCATTGCCTATTTGATAGATATTCCTTTCAACTTCAGTTTCAGTGTTTCATAATAGCGAGTCATCTGATGAATATCATATAAGATTGTGATTTGTGTCTTTTCTCCTCCATTCCAGGAAGATGAGAGTGGCAAGTACATTCACCTTAAGGGTGTGCCCAAAGCCCTCTTACCAGCTCCTCAAGGGAAGCGCATTTTGGACCACTGGTGGGATGCTATCAAAACGTATGAGGAAGGATTATGTTCTCTGAATGAGTGATGTGCATTTGAGAAATTCTTGGTGCTAGGTATATGAAGAGTAGAGTTTGTCATTGTATTATTATTATTATTTTTTTTTTACTTTATTTTGTTTAATTCACATTTTTGTTAACTTTTGATTGCATTTTTATTTCATTTCAGACGCCAGCTGTTTAGTGATGTATTCTTAGTCACTAATGCGGACAAATACAAACACTTTGAACGCTGGGCAACTGCTTCAGACTTTCCAGTGGAGAATATTATCAATGATGGATCAACCATTTTAGATAATGCCTTGGGATCTGTTGCTGATGTTGAACTTGCCATCCGTACCAAAAACTTATGGGAAAATGATATTTTGGTTGTTGCTGGTGACATGCTGTTTCAGGTATATGTATATTATTATTGTTATAGTTTTATTTACTGTTGCATATTTATGATATATTACTATTAATTATTTTCTAAATATTTGTTAGTTGTTGTTTTTCTATTTGTCTTGTCCTCACAGCATAAAGTGTACAAAGAAACATTATAATTGGAGTAAGATATAGTGAAATTTAAACCAGTTGTCTTTAGGAGCATTTATAAGTGGAGATCTGGATTTACAGAATCATTATTACATTTTCATATTTATTGCACTGAATGATTAAGTAAATTTCAATTTGAAAATGATCACAAAGCTGAGACTGTACCATTAAACCTTGTGTCTGTTATTCTCTTCGTAATTTGAACACCTGTATGTCTTCTCACACAGGATAGCAAGTCTGATATTGCACAGGTACTAGACTATTTCTTCATCTATTCTTGTTGTAATTTGAACACCTGTTTACCTTCTCACACAGGATAGCAAGTTTGATATGGCACAGGTACTTGACTACTTCTACAGGACACCTGAAGGCGATTTGGCTATATATTATGAGATGGGGTCTTTGGAACCCACCTTTTCAAGGGGTATTGTGGAAGTGTGTTCAAAGACAAACAGGTGAGAAGAGTTTGTCAGTAAAGGACTGATTTATATGATAATATCTGCCTTTTCTTTTGTTTCTGTTCATGTGATATTTGTTTTTGTCTTTTTATTCTGGCTGCAATGTATAGTTTCTCTTTTTTTTTTTTTTTTTTTAACTAAAGTCTGGATAGATATAAATGATACTTAGAAATGTATAGGTTCATAGTTACTTCTTCAATATTTAGTAAATCTGAGGGTGTAAGTATCCAAATGACATTAACACTTGGATTCTGGAATTATTGTGGTATGTGGTAAAGGGGTAACTGATTATATATATTCATAAATAGAAATATAAAAAAGAATTGGGACTATTGTTGAGGTAATTACTTATATTTTGAGGTCCTTTTTTAATAGTTTGTATACTATTCATATCCTGGAGAATTTTCTGGAAACTCTAAAGAAATACTGTGCTTTTTATAAATGGAAATAATCTAATATACTAAGAAATCAATAAATAGGTTTTTATTCCTGTAGCAGAATAATACTTTTTTGTGTTAAATATATAAAAGATCATAATCATGAAATATGTGAGGATTTAACCCAATAACGCTGGGTAAATAAGTTTGATGGGATTGCGGGGTTGTTGCAGCACATCAACAGTTTCCCCTATTTGCACCTGGCTCGTTTGATAGTTTGTGAGGAACATTAGGCACCTAAAAACTTATATTTTGATATAATTTTTAAAAACATAAAGATTTTGAAGGTGTACCTTCACTTTAGGTGCTATTGCTGCTACTATCCGAGGAAAACAAGATCTGTCCAATGAGCCGACATTGCAGGAATGGTGGTGATATAATGCCACCTGTTACTGTGTCCACAACAGCCATGATATGTATTCATATGCCTCCTGTCTGGCATATGGTTAACACTGATTTTGTACTCCTTTCTTCTGCAGGATAACAAAGTTCTTGGAGAAACCTGCACCTCATGAGACGTGCTCGAGGAATGCTAGTGTTGTATTTTATGCCTTTCGTTCTGAGACTGTTTCACGCCTTCCTGTGTATCTCCAAGAGTATAGGGCTTCCACTCAACGTACCTTTGGTGCTTTCATGCAGTGGCTCATTAATGATTTAAAGGTATGAATAAGTGTTTCATTAGAGGTGCAGTTTCTATGATGTTATTTAATTGAGAGTATTTATGGGAATGAACTGGATTAATGAGAACAGAATGTTGGTACACACCAGGGACTGGAATGTTTGTTGGTTACATCGTGCAGATTATTTTTTCTATGCAGAACACTATCAAATGTATGGAGGGAGGCAAAAGGAGGGAGGGAATAAGTAAAAGAAAAATTATAGATAACCTGATATTTTGCAGGTACTGGTGTATGGGATGAAGCTACCCACAGGTTTTCAACTCATTGGTCAAGTAGGCTTAAAGGATTATGAATCATGGAACTCGTACTTTGCTGACCAAGCCAAGAAAGAGTGTAAGGCCCCAAGATCCCACCGAGCATATGCAAGGTTAGGATAATTAGCCATTTATTGTTACTGTTCTTAAGTTATTTAGTATGGTGGGAATGTGTGCAGTTGGGGACCATTAGAGTCTCCTAGTGAAAGGGGTTTAAGTGATGCTATGGGCCAAGATTAAAATTGACCTCCATTCATGGTCATAGCCTCCTCATTATAAATCGCCTTAAAAAAGGCACTGTTCTAGCCATGGGTAAGTGGGAGTTTGAGATGTAAAACTGATTGTTCTTTATGACCTGGTTCTTGATAGGCCTAATGATAAGGAAATAGAATGATTGATTTGAGATACTTAGTACAGTGGGAATTTTTGCAGCTGGGGACCATTAGAGTCTCATAGTGAAAGGGGTATCACTACTGCTACTGGCCAAGATTAAAAATGACATCCATTCATAGTCATAGCCTCTTCCTTCCTTATAAATCTCCTTAAAAAAAGCACTATTCTTGCCTGTGTGAGTGCACGTGTTTGAGATGTAAAACTGGTTGTTCTTCATGAGATAGTTCTTGATAAGCTTAATGATAAGGAAATAGAATGATCAAGCAAATATTTAGAACACAGGGTGGTAAGATTTTAGGATTACCTTTGCTGTAAATTAAGTACCTCATGATATAGTCATACATGTTATTTATTATTTAATTTTATAGGGTATTCTTAATGGTTTCTAGTCATGCATAATTTGTTCAAATTTGATTTGCACAAAAATTACCTTAGAATACATACTAATTCATAAACATATACATCATAATCATGAAAC